ATTGCTGAAAAAAGCATTTTTCGCCTATATCGTCATAGGTGAAAAATCGTAAAATTATGCACTTTTCAAACATTACTCACATGTCTTTCCGCCCAAGTGGCACGAAATTTTATTGATTGATATTAAAAAAGTTCTTAAACTCTACACAATACATATAGAGTCGATGGGTACAAAATTTTAAAATTATGTGTAATCCATTGCTGAAAAAAGCATTTTTCGCCTATATCGTCATAGGTGAAAAATCGTAAAATTATGCACTTTTCAAACATTACTCACATGTCTTTCCGCCCAAGTGGCATGAGATTTTATTGATTGATATTAAAAAAGTTCTTAAACTCTACACAATACATATGAAGTCGATGGGTACAAAATTTTAAAATTATGCGTAATCCATTGCTGAAAAAAGCATTTTTCGCCTATATCGTCATAGGTGAAAAATCGTAAAATTATGCACTTTTCAAACATTACTCACATGTCTTTCCGCCCAAGTGGCATGAGATTTTATTGATTGATAATAAAAAAGTTTTTAAACTCTACACAATACATATTAAGTCGATGGGTACAAAATTTTAAAATTATGTGTAATCCATTGCTGAAAAAAGCATTTTTCGCCTATATCGTCATAGGTGAAAAATTGTAAAATTATGCACTTTTCAAACATTACTCACATGTCTTTCCGCCCAAGTGGCACGAGATTTCATTGATTGATACTAAAAAAGTTCTTAAACTGCACACAATACATATGAAGTCGATGGGTACAAAATTTTAAAATTATGCGTAATCCATTGCTGAAAAAAGCCTATTTCGCATATGTCGTCATAGGTGAAAAATCGTAAAATTATGCACTTTTCAAACATTACTCACATGTCTTTCCGCCCAAGTGGCACGAAATTTTATTGACTGATATTAAAAAAGTTCTTAAACTCTACACAATACATATGGAGTCGATGGGTACAAAATTTTAAAATTATGCGTAATCCATTGCTGAAAAAAGCATTTTTCGCCTATATCGTCATAGGTGAAAAATCGTAAATATATACACTTTTCAAACGATAGTCGCATGACTTTCCGCCCAAGTGGGGAGAGATTTTATTATTTGATATTGATAGGGTTCTAAAAATCTACACAAAACAATTTGATTCGATGGGTACAAAATTTTAAAATTATGCGTAATCCATTGTTGAAAAGTGCCTATTTCTCAAAAATCGGCATAGGTGAAAAATCGTAAAATTATGCACTTTTCAAACGTTACTCACATATCTTTCCGCCCAAGTGGCACGTGATTTTATTGATTGATATTAAAAAAGTTCTTAAACTCTACACAATACATACGGAGTCGATGGGTACTAAATTTTAAAATTATGTGTAATCCATTGCTGAAAAAAGCTTAATTCGCCTATATCGTCATAGGTGGAAAATCGTAAAATTAGGCACTTTTCAAACATTACTCACATTTCTTTCCGCCCAAGAGGGGCGAGATTTTATTGATTGATATTGAAAAGATTCATTACCTCTGCACAATACAATTTAGGTCTACGGGTACAAAATTTTAAAATCATGTATTAGATATTGGAGGGTAAAATGTTCCACCTGGTAGACATATAATCCTTGCGCTCAGTACGAACGACATCGATGGCCCTTGTTCAACGTATGGAAAGCGAATCGAGAAAGACTTGAACCCACTTTTGGATGCCGTGTCGCTCGTGTATCTGAGTACTAAGGGAGATACATCTTTTCGTTTATAGTTTTGCTGCTTTTTCGTTACATTTGACAACAATAGGGAATAAGAATTATCAAACTCTGTAAGCCAAGCTATTATATTCACATTGTAACTTGAAATGCTGCGTCAAATACCATCTCCATTTCATTAATAGATCAAGTTTATTTATTTATTTTAGGTTGTTTTGGCATTGGTGCTTCCCCAACCAGGCCGACATGCTCACTGCGTGCCAGAGGTCAATGATGCTATTTGTCGATTGGCAATAACTAAAAGATAGAGCATTATAAACTTAGAAGCATTAGGTCAGGGGTGGGCAATTACTTTACTGAGTGGGCCGGATTCGGATAATAGACCTGGTTACTGGGCCAGAGGATCCAAACTCAAAATGATCAAAAACGGTTATTTGTAAATACGTAGACATAACGATTATTAATGGGACGTTATAGCAGAGGATGGCAAATTACGGCAGCTGCACGAATTGTCTACATTTTATTGGTCTCGAGTCCGTGTAGAATTATATTAAATATTAATTAGTTAGCATATCACATATTTTTTTCAGAAGTTTAGTCAACACAAAGGATGGATGATGGCTCGTGGCTTTACTGTTGCTTGTTGGTGCCAGTAGAGAATGGAGCCTTAAGGCAGCTACATCGCTCCACTAGTCTGGGGGCTCACCCAGAAGTGACAGCACCCCCTAAACCTCCCTTACTGGCGTAACAGGTAAATTTTGTTCAGATAATTTTATCAATTTCTTTTTTAATCGGACATTTTGGAATTTCATTAGTGTAAATGCATCAAATGTGTTTTATTTATCATTAGACCATTAAATATGCTAAACGACATGCTCAGATATAAAATTATCAGTTACTGATTACATATATATATATACGCAATGTATGTTTTTGAGATGTATGTATAGTGTATATACCTTATTAATTAAATATAGCTCATTTGCACAAAATGATAAAATCTCACCCTGTTTGCGAGGATACATGGACTTCTAAATTTTTTGCATCCTAAATATGTGTATTTTAATTGCACCTTAGGCAAAAAATTTTGAATTCGAAAGACTTATAACATGTATATATCGTATGTATTTTTGTATGTTTTATATTCATTAATTAAACCTGGCTTTTTCTAGATGAATTCTCTACGATTTGGCTTTCAAATTTTGTCTGTATAATATTAGGTCTGTTTTGTATGTATCAAATATGCATTAGGGACTTTGAATAAATATGAATAAATCTCAAACTTTAAGAATATTTTGTTTTCTTTGTGTACGTCGATCGAATGATATATGATATACGATTTTTAATCTATGCCGATATTTGAGAAATAGGTACTTGTGTAGACTTTTAGAACCTTATTAATATCAAATAATAAAATCTCTCCCCACTTGGGCGGAAAGCGATGTGACTAACGTTTGAAAAGTGTATATATTTACGATTTTTGACCTATGCCGATATTTGAGAAATAGGCACTTTTCAGCAATGGATTACTCATAATTTTAAAAATTTGTACCCATCGACTCAAGTTGTTTTGTGTAGACTTTTAGAACCTAATCAATATCAAATGATAAAATCTCTCCCCACTTGGGCGGAAAGACATGTGAGTAATGTTTGAAAAGTGCATAAATTTATGATTTTTCACCTATGACGATATAGGCGAAATAGGCTTTTTTCAGCAATGGATTACACATAATTTTAAAATTTTGTACCCATCGACTCAAATTGTATTGTGTAGAGTGTATGAATCTTTTTTATATCAATCAATAAAATCTCGCCCCTCTTGGGCGGAAAGACATGTGAGTAATGTTTGAAAAGTGCATAAATTTACGATTTTTCACCTATGACGATATAGGCGAAATAGGCTTTTTTCAGCAATGGATTACACATAATTTTAAAATTTTGTACCCATCGACTCAAATTGTATTGTGTAGAGTGTATGAATCTTTTTTATATCAATCAATAAAATCTCGCCCCTCTTGGGCGGAAAGACATGTGAGTAATGTTTGAAAAGTGCATAAATTTACGATTTTTCACCTATGACGATATAGGCGAAATAGGCTTTTTTCAGCAATGGATTACACATAATTTTAAAATTTTGTACCCATCGACTCAAATTGTATTGTGTAGAGTGTATGAATCTTTTTTATATCAATCAATAAAATCTCGCCCCTCTTGGGCGGAAAGACATGTGACTAATGTTTGAAAAGTGTATGTTTTACGATATTTACTTTTAAAGTAATTACTCGTGCTGCATTTTTTTTGTTTAAAACTCATATTTATAAGCTGTTGTTTGATGATTCGCATTTTACATTTTTCTGGCACGCACTTATTGTTCCAATTTACAGAAATAACGTATATAACTTTATTTTTGTATTTTTATATTCATTCGCTTCCTAATTGCGTATGGAAATTTAGTCCCGCCTCCGATTCTGATATGATATTTGAACTTTTCGCTTGGTTGCACACAAAGGTCACCGTGAGAGTCACTTCACAGTGGTCTCGATCTGGTATAACATTATACTGTATATTTCTGTATTTATTATTCAGATACTGTCAACTTTACATTTTTAGGGCAAATAAACATACACACAAGCCTACCGCTACTGCTGTAGAACCGTAAGGCTTCTTGTTTTTATTGTCAATTGTCTTTCTTGCTGTGATGAGTTTGCGATCTCAGGTACTAAGTGCTTTTAAAAGTCTACACAGAGCTCGCTTGGATGTCTTTAAAGGAGATAATAAAGCGCTTGATGCAGGCAGACACAAAATAAACGGGGAATTCAGAAAGCACAAATCTGAGGAAGATCCAAAAAAGTAAATATGGTAAATTCTTATTTACCCCTTACCGTATCATCGCTGCATAGTTGGCACACCTATCATCTTATTCACTGATCTATACACTTGCTTCGTTCCACCTACAGAGCTACTACTGTCATACTGTACTTGTGTACTAACTTCAGAACTTAAACAGAATTTAAATTGAAATTAACATACATGATCAAAATTCTGTAATTCCCAGATAAGAGCACGTTGTCAAATTCAGAAATACTGGCAGGTATTTCATGGGCTTATAGATATAAATTTAAAAACCATCAAGTTACCCATGCATTCTCAACAGACAATTAAAGAAGGCTTGTGTAGTAAAGATTTTAATAATCAAAATTTGTTTTTCTCATAGTTGGTTTGAAGTCTCAACACTGTAAAAATAACTTTGTCAATAGTATTAATTTTGAATTTTTACCGAAGAACTCCTGTCTTTTCTGCACAGGATAGAAGAACTAATCCAAGTTGCGAAAGATTCTTCCGTGATTTTGAGACAGCATGTTGTCCAACTAGAACAAGTTGAAGAGAATAAATATCGAGCAAATATAACTTCTGACACGTACAAACTCGACAATTTCATGTACAAGTAAGCTGCATTGAATCCTAGATGTTAACTATTTGTAGTTGTGATATTATAAAGGTAATTATTTGCTGTGTTTATTGATAGCAGTGTTTGTCATGTTTCGATTGGTTGAGGTTGTTGTCGTCATTTCCAACACGGGTGTAAATTGCTATGTGTGATACAAAAAATGCCTTTTTTACATTTCAAAATGTGGGTTCAGAGTCGCCTCTGATTTCAAACTTCCCAGAGTTGAAATTTTTTAATTCGCTTGAGTCAGAATTTAATTAATGATAATATCAAGTCAGAATTTCAAACAGACCCTGCAGAAACAATAAGTTTAATAACATTGTCAACAGACAATTGAAGAAAGCAAGCATTTTTTCTTCAACCTGGAGATGGGGACAGGGTTGAAGTTCAATTTTGTCAACCCCAAGTTAATAGTAAAAGCCACAGTCATTTTTTAAGTGGTTCTGTGTTTGGGTTCTAAATCCGGTGTCAGTATTTCCCACAGCCGTGATTGTTGGTTATATTTTTGGGATTGTATGTATTTGGATAGCTGAGTATATTCGACTTCAAATCTAACAGATTCAGTAGGTTTGGATTACCGTAGGTGCATGAAATCTTGATTCATAATATAGTATCTTTGAGGTGATTGAAATACTTGTTTATCAGTAAAATGTACACTTGACATGGCAAAATGTTTTATTCTAGTATGTCGTACATTATACATTAGGTATAATATATGGCAATTTGGAATACTTGTATAAATATATGCATTTATTAAGATTTAATTATGCTTTTATTAAAGTTAAACATATTTAAAACATTGTACATTATACAGAGAAGAATGTTAAAATTGGTCATTTTTGTAGGGAAGTTACGGAAGCAGAACTTCTAGAAGCATCAAGAAAACGAAAAGGCAGGAAAAATATTTGTAAAAACAGTGAATCAAGTGATGGCAACACCAGAGATAAATAGGACCAGGAGGACGTCAACCACGCCTAAGCATGGACAATTGACTGGTTTTCCAAGAAGAATTAAAGATTGTGTAGCGGACATACACAATGCAATACAGAAATGGGAGAGTTCAAAAAACAAAGGATTCAATTTAGTATCTGATATTGCCAATTTAAAGATAGCATCAAGGTATTATAACTGATAATGATTTTTTATTTTTTGTTTGTATGGATATTGACGACTTAATAGATAGTAAAACACAAAACAATGTATATTGATATCACTGAGGGCTGTATGAATGATCTGTCTACTTGGATCTTGCTCGTATCTTTCGACGCTTACGCTTCAATCTCCTTATGCGCTTCTTTCTCAACTTAGGCCTCGTCTCCTTTTATAAACTCGAAAAACGAGTCTCGTGGAATTTCACCTTCGATTAAAGTAGACAGTGACCTTACTCCCAAGTTATCCCTCACCTGGGTATACAAATTTGAGAGTGGTATAATCATATGGAAAATTACCGCCTCAAAACTCTCTCATCCACTCACTCACTTTATTGGATACATTGGAGGGGCAGCTTGTAAAAGTCTTTTTTACCTTGATAATATTAACATACTGATTTAACACTAAGTATTAAAATATTTTTTAAGAGCATATGATGAGGCATCTTGTTATCCTAATGGTTTGGAGAACATGTGTTCAAATTTAAAAATTATTTATGACAACATGGAAAATTTATGTATCAAGATGAACAAAATAACTGTGCAACTTCAAAAAATAGCAAAATTGAATTCTCAGAGGTAATGATAGTTCAATACTTCCAAACTTTGCCTTTACTGTACATTTTACTTTCGCCACTCTTGTAATTACCCATCGATCTTAAGATTGGTAAGTATGTTGATAGGTATTTGTCTGTATGTCTGTTATATGAACATGATATCTCAAGAAGCGAGATTGAATCTGCTCCAAATTTTGCATATGCATTCATCATATCTCGGACCAGAAGCCGGATGAATTATGTCGTATAATTAGCGAGTTATTAATTAATTAGCGATGGGACACGCGGTGTCACTATAGAGTCATGAATCGAAACCGCAGTTTCGATCGATAAGTCTTCGGTCTCCGACCGATATTCACGTTTGTTTGTTACAAACTTTCCTTTAGCGTAGTTGTATTCATTCACGGTTATTTGAACTCAATTTAACCCTGTGTAAAGAATACAATTTTGGTATCAAGCTTTTGTTGGATGAGGTCATGGACTCATGGTCAATTATCCAGTATCACAAAGTTCAAGCACAGATCATAGCAAAGTTATATTATAATTTATATCATAAAGAATAGATAATAGCTAAATTATGGTATGTGTAACGAGGCCCTGTGTATTGATGAGTATAACTTGATTATGGAGAATTACATCCTGACACACACATACCTGCCACAGTATAACTTTTAAAAAAGATTGAACCCTAATCACAAGAAGAAGTTGACTTTTTCCACTTTAGTATAATCTGTTTACTCATACACATTTCAGCTCAAGTGACATTTACTTTATGACATGGCCAGCTTCAAATCTTTTTGAGACTGTCAAACAAATTTCTGATATGCACAAAGAAGAATTAGAAGCTAAAAAAGCAATTGTGGAAAGTATTGCTCATGTTGACCTGATGTCAAATGGAGAAATTAGAGACACAGACTCTAGTCGTGATATACTGATGACATATGTGGCATGTTGGCTCCATGAACCTTTTATTAATGAAGAGACGAGAACAATAATGATGGAAGAGTTGTTATTGGAAACTGGCCATCATCAGTAGCTTGTTTCATTATATAGACTTCACTTCATAACAGTTGAAGATAGTAGAATGAATCGATTTGAATAACAAAAATTGATTAATGTTTTATTCCACTAATACAAAAATCCACTGTTTATTTGGATATTGCTTCAACCAGTGTTTTTGAAAAAAAATGTCCAATTTTAACTGTTAATTTTAATTAATTCGAATAATATGGAGCAAGGCCGATTTTATGTGAGAAAAGCCAGTAATGGTATTTTGGATAGTTCCCCTGCAACTCGCATAACTGAAGGATTTAGTTCATTTAGATATATTAATGAAGTATTTGATCTACTCAAATAAATCCAAAGCGTGGTTCGCCATATAATTAAGCTGTCTCAACGGCTTTCCTTTCTCCAGAATCTAAGCCAATGCATGCACGTATTTGATGGTTAGGTAGGTAAGAGTTTCACGTTTGAATCGTTTTGAGACTTTTTGGACACATTTAGTGGACATAACGATCGTTTTGTTGTTCTTGGTGTTCTTTGACACTTTTTGGACACCTAGTGGAAATATTAAAAAACCGCTTTTCTCTTTGATTACTGGACCAATTGCTTTGAAATTTTCAGTGGTTAAAGATGAAATTTTTCTTCAGAAGGCTATTACTTTTATTTATTTCGAATATTTCTGTTAGCTCGGTGAGATTTGTTTTTGTTTGCTATGACGTAACTGAATGTTCTGCGGACATCGGACGCCATTTTGTGTCCGACTGTACTGCTTCGCTTGGTGTGAATATATTTGTAGACTGTGATCTGACGGTACGGTAAACCGTACTGTACTGCAAACAGACGTGTCCATATATTTGGGCGTAGCTCTCTCGTTATTTCTGCGATGAAGATAGAAAATCTCATTCTTCAATTCATTTTTTTTTTGCCGATTTGTTGGAAACTGGTTTCTGTTTTACTATGAATTAGAGCTTGACCGATATATCGATACCGATATAACTGGTTTCCCAATATTTCTCTCGCCTTCATTTTGCGTTAAAAGGTGTCTCTCTTAATCCCTGATGGTAGATGATTAGGCATTTCATGCATGGTCATAACTTAAAAAGTTATTATCCGGAGTAACATTTTTGACAGTACACAATGAGAAAACGCAAATTAGGTAGGTGTGACAGAAAACCCTAGTTCTATAAATAGAATCGATTTGAAGCTGTTGAGTTAGTAATCACAGAAGCAGGGTTCAGGTAGCTTAAAGCCACAATGTCATCAAAGTACTATAGTTCCGAATTTGCGACCTGGGCAAATTCAATTTTGAATTTGTCAGGCAACAGTTTTATCTATATTAATGGTTGCTTATCACTTTGCTGAGAATTACACACAAAAAAAAATCCATTTTAGCTGATCAAATAAGGTATTGAGAGTCTGTGAAATTTCAATTCTCAATAGTTTTCAAAACAATTTATAATTTTCCAATACCCATAACATATGCTCAGTTATATTCAAGTACCTATTCTCGTACCTGGGAAAGGAAAGACCGACATTGAAGTCACAGGAAAAGTTACAGAATAACATTTGTTCAAACATTGACTGGAGTTGGTTAAATAAGTCTTACTGCAATGATAATAAATATCGAAATGAAGCTACACACTCGGGAGGTACATCATAAAAGCCCATTTTGTGGCTCACAATAATCTTGATATCGGTTATCGGCCTCTAGTTGGCCGATATATCGGTGCCAAAAAGTGATATCGGTCGAGCTCTACTCTGAATAGACCTGAGGGACCTCCAAAAGTATGCGCACCAAGATGGCGTGCAACCTGAATATAGTATGTGTGTACTGGCTAGGATTCAGGTTGTGCGCATACTTCTGGAGCACCGACCTGAGCCATTATGTCTTGTGTAATAATGGCCCTGCTTCAGAGGCAAAAACCGTCGCATGTAATAGTTCTATAGAATCGTAGAAAAAGTCTATATATATGACTTGAAACGATTAGAAATACATTTTATGAGTCTGGCAATTTGTCGACTGTCTAACGTTTGTTTGGATCAGCTTTTCTAGTATGAGAATATTTTACAAATAAAGTAGGATGCACATATTTGTCTCGGAGCAGAAGAAAACTAGGTTGGCGCATCGCGCTGATCGTTGGGAACACACTCGTCATAGCATTTCAAGTCACTTTGAGAGGATTCGCATGCCGTTGAAGATACGGTAATTGTCTGCGACAGTATTGCTGGACTCCTCGCCGGTCGACTTCCTCGTTCCTTTACCTAGTGCAGTCAGTCAGTTAGCAGCTCCAAAAATTGCACGCACCCGGGAATACACATGATAATACGTGATTATCGCCTGAAACTTATACAAATCGAATCCTATGACCCTAGTAGCACACGTGTCCCCATGTTCTTGGTTAGGGAGTTGTCATTGTTTACTTTTATAGGGAATAAGCCTAAAAGCGTTGCTGCTATACTATCCTTTAAAATTTAATGAGGAATATTGAATGCGTTTTATATTTCAAATGAATTTAAAAAAAAAAATAAAAGCTAAAATTGTTGTGCTTCTTTTTATGATTTCCATTTTCCAAAGGACATTTGATAAAAGGACTCTTCTTCAAACTGGTGGTCACGCTGAAATCTTTTTCGACACTGACTTATGTTGAAACAAAATATCTATTAAATTGGAAAGATTTTGAACCAGTACTGACTCCCACTATCGTCGAAATAGAGCTCAAATTCGATCTTTTGTGCGAGAATATGCAAGCACATCGGTCTCATAAGAGTTGTTGTCAATTTCATTATTGGTTTTTAATATTTTGTATATTTACTACATTTTACTTTATTTTAGTTTCAGGGGACTGCAAAACAATTTGGCTGTGCCAAGTGGGTCGTGATGAAAAAAGTTGAAGAACACTGAAGTAGCCTACATTATAAATCAATAGTTACAATGGTCACAACTCTAATTCAAAATACGATTCACAGAACAACAGTGTATATATCTATCATCAAAATAGAATCGTCTCCTTATAATTCTTGGTCTTCCTAGCGATTACAATTCTTTCGTTATTCTATCATAGTTTAAATACGATAATTCGAGCATATTTCATCGCATGGGAAACTGTTTTTCAAAACTAAAACGTTATCGAGTTATTACATTTTTATTTTCGGAATGCTTTATACACGAATGATGCAAATTATGTCGATTGTAAGATTTACTATTATTGAAGTTCAATATCGGTCTGGAGTTGATTAAGAACGCAAAGGCGTTGGTGGTGGAGGATATGGCGGTGGAGTTGGCGGCGGTGGAATATCGTCCATGCCAAATTCAGGAGGCGGATTTTCTACTCGAGTATCGGAATGCAGGGGAGTAGATGTAACAGAATGATCTTTCCTTGCAGAATATGAACTAAGTGTGGGCAAAGCTTGTCTACGGGCTCCATTATCATACGATGTTGGACTTTTCATATATATTTGTCCATATTTTTTTACAGGAACTACCGAATCCAAACAATTACCATAAAACACGTCGCCTCTTGTGGGTCGAATGAATCCGTCACGTCTTCTGGCAATCATCTGCATGATTTGCATATCCGTAGATGTGAGAGATGCCAGACTGTGATTTCCGTAATCTTCGCTGTAGCAATTTGGCCTGTAGCAACCTAAGAGGTGCTCGTTAGTCCACGTTGCACGGGGAATCATTCGAAATTTCGGAAAATACCTTGTATCAAGCGCCTTTGAAGGGTGCCAGTAATGTGCGGCGTCAATATTTCTTGGACGTACATTTTCCCATCCTGCATCGATTTCGCTTGTTCGAGGATACGCCTCTTTTTGTGACCGTGATGAACGCTTCATCTTACGTTCTCGGCCTGTGTCATCTGGCGTTAACCATGGATGACAACTGTTTCTTTCGCAAGTTTTTGTTCGGTTTCTTCTTTCTGCTTTCTGATAATAATCATACCAGTTGACAGGAGACCTATTCGAAACATAATCCCACCACGGCATTGTTTCCAAATGTTTTAACGTGTCATACTTTTGTCCCCCTGTTCCTTTCTCTTGCATTTCAAATGCATCGTTGTCTTTTCCCGCCATTTTGCCAGACCCTGAAGTACTCCATATGGTATTACTCCTTTTTGACCCATTCAATGATTTCAGATGTTCATTTTCATTGCGCTTTTTGCCTTTTCTGGCAAGACAACTTGAGCATAACCACATAATAAGAAGCATGGCTATCACAGCTCCAACTATAACGCAACAATACATAATGACGGCGATCGCAGGAGGTAAGCCTGGAAACATTTTTGTCGGGTCGATGAGAGGATACCACCATTGAATCTGATCTTCTGTTTCGGCGTCTGGTTGAGTCGTGGTGAAGTTCATATTTACCCGTTTTCAGCCTTTTTAAAATTACAATATTATTACTTACATTTATAAGCATAATCAAATAAAGTTGTTAATTATTTTATAAAAATAGTCAGTTTCTCGTTAAAACAAACTGCATTTATAATGTTACACAGGCAACCAGAATTATTACGATTACTTTTAGAGTTTCATGGAGTTTTGCTGTTTTAGAATTATCCTGATAACGATAAACCTACTTCATGAGATTTATAATTCCAATAATTCCTATTTTCACGGTAAAATTCTACTATAATTTTTTTTAAATGTATTTGCAGTCACCCTAAATAGGATAGCCAAATGTGAAATTCAGTGCTATGACTATTCTATTCCTATAATAAAGCCTGTGTAAATAGGGAATTATACACTTTGATATTTTGCAAACCTGAACTCTATGGAATATAAAATCCTCAAGCAAATGTGCACTCTTCTGATTCGTAATTGGAATTAGTTAGATGTCTTCCTCCTCTTACATAATTTAACTGTCGATTGCATCTGGAACATTTGTACTGAGAAATACGTCTTCTGTAAGAAAATATTTTCGAGCGTGAGAGACTCTGGGTAGCAGACTATACCTTTACACAAAGTTGGTAAAATTGTCACCGCCTCCAATTATTTACTCTCTTCTATAACTTATATTTTGTTGCTAATATATTATACAACATAACCTATTCTTGACTCAATAATCCCAATACTTCCATTATTTACTCTAACAAATGCTGACGAAATTATATTGCGTTTGGAATTTATGGGAGTAACAAATTATTGAAATAATTTAGCGTTGCAGAAAGCGATAACAGAAAATTAATATGACGATGAATGTGTTGATAAGTTCCGTCAGTAATCCTTCAAATTTACCGAATACTTGATTCTCAATGAAAATGAAAGCTCTTGCCATGTATAGGTAGATATCGATATTGATTTTTTAATTTTAAAATTTTACTTCTGTAGGTATTTCATTTTTGTATCATTTTATCGTTCAATTCAAATAACTCAAATACGAATTAGTTCAAATTATAAAGAGCCTAGAAGATACTGTCCTTTGACAATACGATTCAATACTATTCCACTATATCTCCTACGTTTTAGTTTCGCCCTGTCCTATTTTCCACCAAACCACGTCACACCAGGCTACAGCGTGTTCAGTATTACAATGTTATTAAATAATTTGGTCACGCGAAATATTGTAAGATAAGTGCACTCGAAAAATGTGAAACAACGGCTGAAGTGCTAAATTTAATTTAGCCATTTTACTGTATGCACTTTTATAATTTTTCTACAATTTTCGTGTAATTATGTACCGAACATAGATCGTCTTGCCGCCAAAAATAAACAACGAGATGTGTAAATGATTTTACTTCTTCCAAGTAAAGATATATTGAACTATATTTTAAACATCCACGAGTATTTAGAAAAAAATCCAAACTGCAACTCGAGCGGCGTGACTTTAAGAGTATTTTATTATTGGATTTATATCAGCGTTTTTGTTGTAAAACAGAGGAGTAACCATGGTTGTTTATTCACTTAATTAATTTAATAACGTAGCAGACAAAAGTGCACTTTGTGCTCCAGTCCAAGATGGTTTACGGTTAAGAGTGGACCATATGATTATTTATCTTTGATTAGCAAACAAAGCCATATTCGCATATCACGATTGTTGAGTTTTTCTTCGAGTATGTGATTTGACAAGGCCTTATCTTATATCGCGATAATGACGGATGTATCGCGTGTTCGAAGTGCAAAACATTTATATGCAAAAAAGCAATATATATGCAATTTGGATGCAAATCAGGTAAGCATCACTAAAGTCAGACTTTTCAATATTTTACCTTTGAGCTACAAACAGGTACGATGTAAAGATGACGTATATTGTACATGCCACCCCGGTCACGATCAGCATCGCAATCTGCCAGTATGATAACACAATTTGAGATTCCACTTTCGCATGTCCTGTGATATCTGTAGTAAAATATTTATTTATACTCACGTTAGTATCCAGTTTTGTGATGCCAGTGCATAAAACGTACGATGTAATTGAAATACAGAGGTGTCCGATGGTATTCTTTCAAACTTACAATAACTGTTTCTAATACAAGCCATGCAATTTGCGTAAAAAGTGAATATATATTGGCTTTTCACACAAAACTTATTTTGAAATATATTCCATCTGATATATTTATAAAGAATATGTGAACTATAAATCTTGTATAACTCAAGAATTAATTGGTTTAAATATAATTTTGAAATTACTTCTTGTTTTTCGTTATTAATCCAATAAACAGACACATTGCAGCAATCTAAGCGGTACATATATTATGTTATTTAAAAAGGCGAACTCTTTCGCTGCTACTATCATAAACGATAACGTGAATCGTGATAACAGAAAGATATTGGAGTGACTATCTGAAGTGTTTAATACCTTTTGCACCAACATCGCATAATATAAAGCATAATATAAAATTAAAGTAATTTCACTATTAGTTTAAACTTAAAATATGAATTCAAGCACACCGAATGGTTTGCATGAAAGTGATTCCGTCCATTGGCCGCCCGGAAGACAAGTTATATTAGTAGAATTTTGAGCGTCATGCTCCCCTGCCGAGCAAGTAATCCGCACGATGTCGCCAACGTTGAATTTTTGGTCTACATTTGGAAGCTGACATCTCGACAAGGTTGTTTTGCTTTTGTCGGTTGTCCGGCTCCCTTCATCAGTCGAGTTTGGCACTGTAAAAAAATTAATGAAATATTTTGCATTACAATCACTGCATTAATTATATATGGAGTTGATTTCACCTCGTTTTTTAGGAATTTCCATTCATTTTTGGTAACCTAAGTTTTGTGTGTTACCGCGATTCTCAAATTCTTTTTACAATATGGTATGCTCAGCAACGAATATCGCGGATGAGTTGTAAATAGGATGTAAGGTTTATCGAAATTTGAATAAAATCCTTAAAAGTTGTTGAAAATCGAAGTAACTGTATTTTGACGTGTTCGCAAACTTTAATAGTACTGTAGACGCCAATATAAAAAGCTTCGGTTTTACCCTGTTGTTTTTATCACACAATATTATCAACTCACTTTTTAATGAAGATGCAAAACGAAAGAACTCTTTGAATCTCAAGGAATCGTAATTAGTTGACAATTTATCCGAAGTGCTCTCTGGTAAGGGAGTATACCTGTGTTGCTGAGTTTGAGGCAAAAGTATCGGCATTTCTTCTGAACTTCTTTTCTCGACTAAAAACAAATTGTTTCAAAATGTTATCCATAATATACGAATACGGTAATACGGTATAAATATGTTTATGCAACACGTACTTTTGAAAGCAATCCTAAATCCCGATTTTTCTACTGATCCATCTGTTAAAAACTTAATTCGAATCCATCCACTATTTTCAACTATAATAGGTTGATTCGAAGGTGTCTCGTATCCACAAAATCGTTGTGGTCGAGATCCTTCAAATGTTAGAGAAACATAGTCAAACCTAAAAGTAAATTATATTTCATTAAACAATGAAAATTTAATACAATATCAGCTGTTATATAGATAGTGTATAAACACAGTATATTATACAGTGTTATGTATAGACTGTTGTAATATTTTACACAGTTAATTAAGTGAAATTAGTCAATACTCAATAATCCCCGCACGGGCAAGAATAAAGATTTTCAACTATGCACCAGGAACAGGAAGTATAAATGACTTCCCGATTTGTTGCTGTCAAAAACCTGTCGCGTTTCAGCCTTGTCCTTTCTTAATGTACATATAAATATGCTATGTACGGGTTTGGTACTAGTTTTGAATATATAAATATGACCAATATTTGCTTCATTGATAAAAATTAAAAAAAAATCAAATTTTCACTTTTCCAAGTAAGAGTCATTTGAAATTTAAAAAAATTTTGACACTTGTACTACTATATTCCCCATTTCGCTGAATTTTTTGAAATAGAAAATATACGAAAATTCTTTCGTGCTTTTGTTATGTTATTATATGACAAGAGAGCTATGCTCAAATATATGGACACGTAGCGCCATCTAATGGTAATAATTTAGATGACGTCATAGCAAAATAATAGCCTTCTGGAAAATTGTTTTATCTTTAACCACTGAAAATTTCAAAGCAATTGGTCCAGTCATCAAAAAGAAAAGCGATTTCTTCAAACGTGTCAAAGAACAAGAACAACAAAACGATCGTATGTCCACTACGTGTTCAAAAATACGACACTCTGATTTCGTGTGGTGCAATAAAAACACTTACAAACACAAGCTTGATTCTTCTACATCCAAGTCGATAAAATTTACGTAGATGACATCACTTTTATGAGGTGATTGAATTAACCAATCGCATCGCAGGTTCGATTTGTATTTCAGTGGATAACCTGGTGATTCGATAACACCTGAGTAAATGAATTCACATTTTAACTACAGTGCACAAATTGAAGCAAGTTGATACTATTATCAAAAACGGTAAATTAAATTGAAATATCTCGTTTCCACGTATTTGAAAACGTCCTATATTTCTAAGGTAATGGAAATATGCATATGTGTTTTACCTTCGTTAGTATTTGTTATTGTCCTACCACACTTTACACGTGGATAAATCGCTCCTTTAGTAGTTGTTTGAAATACGTTGCCTGTTTTGTAAATTGCACCTGAAACAACGTTTATTTCAACGATAAATATTAATATTTACAGAAACAAATTGTCTAAAGTTTTACTCACTAATTTATGTTCATTTTAAAACTGTCTGCATTTTGATAAGGTTGGCATAAATTAAATAAGAACGTGCGTTACACAGGTATCTATAATATTATTTTCAAACTTTTCATTTCTAATGAAGCATTCGTCGTTTTAATAAGCTTTAGCGTTTGCTCAAGAGGCAGCACCCAAATTTATTGAGATTTATTGAATAATATTTTTAGATTTTGAAAATTGTAGTTGTAGGGTGTTTTTTTGTTCTTCATCATAAAAAGTGGATCACTTTGACTGTAGCCTGCGTACGACAAGGGTATATATTGGCATGACTTTGAAAATGCAATAACGGCAGATGATATATTATGTGACAAATGAGAACACTGAAACGCCGAAGATTGCCTACAAAATCAAATAATTTGAACAAATTATTCTTATGAAATCATTTACGTAAAACACAGGATATAGGTAATTTAGTGTCGCATCGGAGATCTCATTACATCGGCATATCAAGCGAGAATGTTGCAGTTATCGCCTTTTAAGTCAGCCCAAAGGTTATGTCGATGTACAGTGTTTCAGATCATCATAAAATTGTTTGTCCGAGAGAAGGACGAAATTTATAGACGTTTTATAGAACTTAGTTACAAATAAATATTACACGATGGGGTAACAATCATTTCTTCTGTATTTTTCAATAGCAGCTACTGTTACGTTTGGAGCTACAGTGTTGCCCAGAGTAGAACATTTTCATGTTACATCTAATTCATTCCACGATGGGCCATAATCAGGCAGGCAGTAAAATCTGGTAAATTCGAGATTTTTAACCTAAGATTCCAGCATAATCAGTTCCAAATTCGATAACGTTAACAAAGTGTAGCCAAAATTGGTAAAGTTTACCCAGCCGATTATCCGCAACTTCCGGCTACTTCGGAATGAAAAAAAGGTTAGTGTAACTAGTCTTAGGGCGCATATCATTATATTCTGCATTGCTATATGAATCTGATACTGTTTTCGACTGCTACGGTATTTAACAGTATATCGAATTTAATAAAATATTTTAGAAACGTCGGTGTGCATTACGCAACATTTAAGTTAGTATATCACGACCTGAATATCGAATTTTACTACTGTCGCATATTTGCACATGTATGCTTTGTGGCGTCACCAGTAAACCTTACATTAGCTTACTTAAACAGTTTTCATGGGAAAGTTAGAAAAGAGGATGAAAAATTGCACTCGTACAGCGAGTTCTGTTTTAGAAACGATAACGGATTTTCGAAGATGATTGGATTTTGAAACATGTAAAACACTTTATACCCATTATTAACGAAAAAATAATGATATCATCCTATGGCGTCTGTCTGGATGCTTAATGGACAATATGTATGCATGTCAGTTATTGCTGGGTCATGAAGCAGACGACTGCTTTGTTTGCAGTCGGAATGTCGTAATCGCGCCGAGAGACAACTCACTTTGCACTTACATAATATATTATATATTAATTCGTGATGTGACCTAACGTGGTGTTTGCCAAAGAGTCTCAGTTTATTCAGAGCACACGTAATATTATTGCACGCGGAAGTCCAGTTTGCATTTTTAAAATGAGACACGAGCTTCCACGCAATTAGAGTGAGTCTACGAGTTGAATGCGAACACTTTGACAAAGCATGTATCACAGATGAAAAGTCGATTTATGTATGATTAAACGAGATATAACTGTACAAAAACTTCTGCCAGAGTATACAATATGATTACTTTTTCCTGTTGTGTATAATAGGTTAATGTTTGGATAGGCTGGGCCGGTCATATTACCTTTTCATATTTCACCTGTACGAAAATCTAGCAAACGAGGAAGTACGCAGGCGCGATCAGAAAATTATGGGAGTTACTTGGTATTGAGTTACTGAGATACGATACGCTGTTTTCAGATTTGTACAGGAATTCCTAGAATTAAAAGTTTGCATGAATATCAGGGAATGGATACTATGCATAACAGTATGTTGGAATCAAAGTAGAATCAAATTTGATCACTGCATGCCTGCTAATTCGTATACGTCATACGCGCAAAGCCTTCAATTTAGAATTATTTAATAGGTATCATCACTATTGGACATAAGGTCGATTATTTGAACGGCGATAGATTACTGTGTGAAATTACTGTGATTTTCTTTAGTAAACTTTACCAAATTTTTTCATATAATATTCGATTTAGAACGTTTAAAATCTTCCAAACGCCTACGTTGAACCATAACGACGTATGAACTTCTTATTTTGGAATGTTATGCGACGTCGCTACGCAATTTTTAGTGTGTTGAGGTGTATTTATAGGCCAAACCCACTTTGTCTATTTTCGTACATTTTGACGTACTTTTTACGCATTGTTAATTTACGAGCCACGGTGATATTTCAAATCAACTTTCAGAATCTGAAGTGCTGGAATTTATACTTAGTAAGCATTCATCATATTACACAGTGAAGTACACTTTCAGTACAGGCGAGAAAATACAGATGTGGTAATTTGAGATTATTATTGACATGCGTGAATTCAAAGGAAGCTCTATCCGTGATAACAAAGGTTTATTAATGCTTTTTAATATTGCTTGAGGAACTCTGTTTTGCCGGCTCTGTTATTACAAACTTGTTGCTAAATCAAATGTTTATTGGACACGGAATGTACATATGGATCATTTTGCTATTGTGTTGTTGTTGGTCACGATCTCGTTGGTATTCCTTTCTTCTCCTGGTTGCGAAAAAACGTTTTTTTCATTGACTAATGAAGCAATTGCTTTGAAATTTCCAGTGGTTGAAGATTGTATTTTTGTTAGAAGACTAACTTTTTTCATTTGGAAAATGTATGTGCGGTCTATGCGATACGTCATCAAAATTAAAACATGCGCACCGTGCCATGGTTCCGTGATCGCATTTCAGCGATTTCGTAGTCAGATTTGATTCTACCTCGTTTTGGCCTTCGCGTTCATATATTTGAGCATTGCTCTCTTGTTTTCTTTATCTTCGTGGAATATATATTTCGACGTACCCGTTATATATCATATCAGAATAAGAAACTTTTTTTGGCTTCTGATATCTTTGCAATTAAATTAAAAAAAAATAAAGTATTTCTTACTTACCTGTGGCATGACGTTGTAGAACCATGAGCAGGGCCTGAGCCAGTACTATAAAATGCATGTTGCTTCTTCGCGAATATTTGACAGTGTTTCTAGTTAACCATTGCCTAAACCAAAAAAAAATGCCACAAAGTATAGAAGGCAATACAATTAGCCAACTTTGAATCATCAAGATATTGTTTTTGATATGTAAATATATATATATTTCAAGAAATATCAGCGGTTCGTGAATGAAATAAATGTATAAAACTGTATCGTGAAAAATAAACAGTCAGCCGCGGACAATATTTGGTAATGATTGAGCAAGTGTATAGGTAAACAAAAACGTTCTACCATTAACTTACCAATCATGGATATATTGCGTTACTGATAGCCAGCCGAGTACAGTTAGTATATTGGATATACCGACAGGAAAAGCGTGATGTGAACTTACACATCTGACTGAAAACGTGTGATTAAATCAATTTTTTTGTTATAACCAGCTCTGGCGATTCATTATATATTCATTATTTTACCATTAGGGCCAAAGGCTTAGCTTTGGCAACTTTATTCAACAATAGCATTTACTCGGTCATATAATTTCTGAACGGCACATAACTACCTTCGTTTTTAGTTATAAAAAATATTTATCGTTTTCAGGAATGTTTAGGAAATAACATTTGTCTTCATAACACTCATCACCCTGTTAAATTACCCACGAAACTATTGGTATGGAACACCTCTGCTATATACGCTTGTGTAAACATCCTTTATTTATCCAGAATTATGATGTCATGTGGGTAAAATAATTTAAGCAACTGGAAGTATCTTGTAAAAAAAAACGATTAAAATATATTTGCGTTACATATACGAGATTCTAGGCGGTATATTTTTCTCAATAACTGCGTGTATATATTGTAGAACGAGGACGCTTAAAGTGCTTTGTAAGGAAAGTGATTATATTGTTTACATGCAAATTTTACAGCATTAAACTGTTTACGTATTTGCAGTCAATTCTCTCTTTATTAGAGTTGAGTGCAGCATTCCGCGTTTTAAAGGATTGCTTATAGTTAAGGTCAGCGTAAATTTTTCGACCAATTGTTATTAGCGATAGTCCGAGGCCAGGTCAAAAACAACAAGTCGGTCGTTGCGTTGTTCTATCTGGTTGTCTGCTTTAATTTAGCTGTACCACCCAACTAATAGGCTATGCGAAATGATAAACGCGCTTACTGCTATGCTTAATATCCAAGTTTGTTTTAAGGCGTGGCGAAATGTTTTGTAACCCGTGCGCGGATAAATTACTGATTGATGGGATTTGTATGTCAATAAAACCGTTGAAGTCAAAGCTTCGAGGCTACAGCGACATGGACTTTAATGGAGATATTGGCAATTATAAATTTAGCTTAGACATTTTGTCCTTCCTCGGTATATAACAAGCATAGCGTGACGACAATAAAAGTTGCCGAGTCATATGTTTGCGCGTAAATACTCGCAACTCCATTGGTGTTCATTTATGCCAATCATACTCAGGTAATCACAATGAAAATATATCCTGCTACAAAAGACCTTTTTCTGAAGATTTTGTATTATTCCTATACGATTATGTACGAAATTTGGCTAAAGAAAAGCGTTATGTTTTGTCTATAGTATTAAGCTTTTCCGTACATATGCTATATTGTTGTCTATTCTGGACAGGGTCACAAACGCATGTCTAGGAAATGTTTATATTTCTCATAGCCTTTTCTGCAGCTACTGTATGTCACCAATATTTTTGTAGCATAAATTTTTGGTTAACCCGGCAAAATTTGGTTTGGCTTTTGGCGTGTGGTAATAAATTTGAGAATTATAGCAATCTCCGTTTCCGTTGAGTATGTTTGCTATAAGTACAAGCACGGGAAAGGTAATCAACTCAGAATTGGTGGAAGAATTTCGCAATTGTAAAATTCGATTTTCTTGGTGTTGTCATTGCCGATTTATCTGTGGATACTGCTGGCGCTTCGATATTACTCATTGTTATGTAGAAATGACGAAATTCTATGACATCTTGTTTAGCGTACGATACAGTTATTTGCTAAGCAACGGAGCTGGGAACGATACAATTCACCTAAAATACCATATTTAGCCTAATATACATGCGAGTTGACCGTCTCATGCTTTACCAATAAATATTCTGGCTGACTAAAGAACGCTAAGATAAATTGGCTTGAGTAAGGGTTTGAATGAAAGCTACTGTGAACTTTGCTTTCAAAAAACGAAAAAATGCTTAAGTTAATAATATTCTAAAATATTCGAGAAAATCTAGATTAACCAACACATTGTTGATCCACGTTGAGGTTCTATTATCGTGAACAAATTACTATTATTGGTCATTAGCAATGAAGATAGAACATTGATGAAGCCCTAAATTATAAGTCAAAGCTAGAATCACAAAAAGCATGTCGGAATATCCGGCACAAAGCGAATATTTTACATGAAAGCCTAGATTATTTCAAATTGAAATTACATTTCCACATGGGGATGAGTATTTGGTTCGATAATGAACTTCCTTATTTAACTATGAATCATTTACTGTGCCTAAATAACTAATCTTTCTATTAAACTACCGTTATCGGTTCTGATGATACTCATCCTTGAGCTAAATTCGACCGAACTACGATGACTTTATCTCAATATTTTAGGCTTAAAAGGGTTCTTACTCTGAAAAGATCTCTTAACTGGACATAATTCCCTATGCTTTTCCGTAATATATACCTAAGATATACGCTGAAGCCCACTTGAAAGTCGATTATTACGCTTCTATAAAAGATCAGTAACTTTTACGCATATATTACAAAACTTGACTGCGAAATAACCAAGTGTAACCCTTCAAAAGCTGGCTTAAGATAGAGCTCATCTTTAATACCGGGTCCGTAAAGTATCCATCTCTAACAGCATGTGAAAACTACTAATTATTGACAAATAGTTGCAAATATACTAGTTAGTTAACAGGGACGGAACTGGGCGAGTTAGCGATGACTAAAACAACATGGCGTCGGCGGATTTCATTAAGACGTTGATGAAATAGCCCTCCAGGTGCGAGGAATACATACTGCGTTGATGACCTCTTCAAACGCCATCGCGCTTTCGAAAAGTGCGCTCAAGATTTTTGTTCAAGTGGCAATATTAATAATTTTTCATACAAAATTAGGACAGCTGCTCAGTTTTCGAAATAAAAGAAATTTCAAATGCGTTCGTGATCATGGGATAAGATATGAGGACTGCCAATATGTTGATTAAAAATTAATTGAATATACAGAGTCAGGCTTGAAATTAGGAGTCTGTTAATTTTTTGTGTTCTTCGTGCCCTCAAAAAATGTTTGTGATCGTTTATGGATCAAATAAAGACTGAATATATTTTATGTGTACTAACATATTAAAACCAGATGTTATGTTTTTCGTTTTAATTTTACATAAATTGTCTATTTCAATTTGCATTGGACGCCACTAATTCTGTTTGTAATAAGGGTGCTTGTTATGGAAATGTAATGCGTGAATATCGATTATATATGAAATTTTAGCATAACTACATCATCGTAACATGATTTCACCAAAGTTATTGTCATAAGGAGGCTATTGTAATAAATTTTCTAACTGGCAAATGAACGCTATAAAGGAAGTGTGATGATTACTGATGAAAATTACGGTACTATTTTCTAATTTAAATAAATCGCATCTCACGAGAATCACAGTCCATAAAAACAGGACTCAAGCTCATATGGTGTGGGGTTCCGTAAACCTAATTCGCGTTCAACAATATGATATTTCGGCCCACGGACGATTCCTCGGGTCACATTTTTGATAAACGTATCTCCGCACTCAAGTCTGTGTGCACCGAAACGTCTGGTCGTAAACGTCCGTGGGCCGAAATAATTTCCATGAAGATATGAAAACGGAATTTTATTTTCGTTTAAACGAGTGACGTAGTTATAGCCTGAAAACGCATGAAATGTTTACTAGTAGAGTGATAATATCATTGAAGTAAACAGAAGGAATCATTGAATTTTTTGTACAAAGCCCTCACCAATAATGCCAAAATGTGAGAATTTGAAAAAGAAAAAAAAACACCACGTTTTTAAATAACAAATTAGTAATTATCCAGATAGGGTTTGGAATGATTTAAAATATTGAATTTCCAGCGCAATCTACATTTTAACCCTAACTGGATATTTGCTAAATTTCTTCTTTTTCAGCGTTGGTGGGGATGTTTTTTTGGGGCTCCAGAAGTATGAGCACCAAGATGTCGCACAGCCTGAATCCTAACCGGTACACACATACTATGTTCAGGCTGTGCGCCATCTTGGTGCGCATACTTCTGGAGGTCCGTTTTTTCTTTGACGAGGGCTTTGTAAAAAAGATCCGAATCATCGTATGATTTGGTGGTCTAAAACGTTAATTCGTAAATGTATCCATACCAAACTTTATGCACCTGATTTTTTTCCCGACCTCTAACCCAGCACGAGGAGCGCGATTCGACTTACATAGCCGCTTTGTGAAGAGCCATTTAAATGGGTATATATGTCTGTGAAACATCACTTGATAAGCACAGGAAGTATTATTGCACGAAAATATGATTTGTATTACTTTTGCAGCACCATGATGTACGCTATTCGTTTTGTATGAAACTGATCATTTCATGTAAAATGTACCAATTGTTGTTAAAAGTAGTTTTGTATTCCGATAAGTGCGTGCGATCATCCGGGTTGATTTCAGAGAGGCCAGCATTTACAAAGTTGCGAAGGCAAGCATTGTTCAATTGTCGGCTTTGTATTTATTGTCTTTGGCTTTTCGACGTAAATGGTGTAAGTGGCCACATCGCTGATCGATGTAAATTGCGACCAAGCCAGTGTCATAGAGGAGTACTATACACATGTACCTGAGATTGTTTAAATTAGCTGCATTGGCAATTATATGAGAGACATACCGGCAGTTGAGATTAAATTTGTACAGTGTGTGGGTAAAACGTCAATGTTATCGCAATCACTGAATTTATTCTCGACTGATTAGGAAGCATCGGCAGTTGCTGACCCACGATCCATCGATCAAGGCGGAGTTGATATAACCAAAATAGCATTTGTGTTGGTATGACGTAGAACTGTATCTTATCACCCGAATTCCTGAAGTGTTTGTCTAGGGGTAATGTAAAATGTGTGCATGTTTAGACGGAAATAGCTCGCCACAAAAAGCTTTGGGTGAGAGAACATTAGTCGTAAGATAACCCGGAAACCAGGCTGACTGCAGTGTTATGTTTTCTAGTTTACTGTTGCAATAGGTGACCTTGCTTTAGCGATGATGACATGTATTTAGTGTTCATTTTCATTGAATGGCGCCGATATAACGCTGTAATCACTATATGATTACAATATGATAACCTTGAAGTTTTTATTGTGTACAAACAGGAATCAATACTGTCTTACCAGCAGACACGATGAATTATTGATCAATGTTCGTCCTCGTAATAATCATATCGTGGCGTATTATTATGCATAATACATATCGCCGTTTAAAACTAATCGCAGAGTTTTTCAGACGAGCACATGGTCCACTGCGATCATTTTTTGGATAATTAAACTCAGATGAACTAAATCATTAGTGAAATATTAACTTGTTGTTTTGCGAAATTGCAAGCCAGTTGAGCGATGTAAGGGCGTTACTGAGGTTATAGCACTATTATCTATTAAAGACATACACTTAATCTTGAAATCAGCATGATGAAAAGGCGTTTTATATATCGACATTAACTTCATGCAGGTCATTTTAGTCTTCCAGTTATCAATGTGTTTTAGTCGAGGGAGTATTCGCGAATTTGCTTAGAGCAAACAGGCTTAAGAAGTCCAGTTACCTGACCTACTTTTCGGGGCGTAAAATAATCTTTCAGTAAACCAATTAGCAATTGTTGTTCGTTTAAATAGGACAGTTCGAGCAGAACGATGTTGCGAAATGTAACAAGATAATATGCAGACGACTTATTGCGAACCGAATTCATGGTGGGATTTCACAACCTGACGTATCAGGAGAAGTCAAGTTACTCTTACGAAATTTGATTTGGCTGTTATGAGTTTATTCCTCGTTTGAAATATATTTATATCGAGTTATGATGTCATAACATGACCAATTAAACAACGTAATAAATTGATCTAACATAAAATAAAACAACGTGATCTCGTGGGTTGGCGCTAGACTGGGCCAAAAACGATTATTGACTAAAAAACAGAGCAACGTTGGGTTAACGTTCTGAGTTCATAGTAGTATACAAAGTCGAAACCGCACGAGAGCCAGCCAATATCAATCAGAGTATTGAGATTATTTTATGTTAGTCTAGCTATAGATTTTAGCGATAGATTTTCAGGATTTTCACATGGTGATTGATCTCAAGATTTGACAATGAAAGTCTTTGTTATTTTATTTAACGCCACTCGGTCCGTGGTCAGTATATATATATATATGTACTCGATTGGGAGAGGGTGAACGAATAAAAATAATCGCAAACTGTGACGTCACAGTAGCAAATACTTGAGGTCGAAATATTTTTTCAATCCGAGAGAAAGAATCATGAATTAATTCAGTGTTGCACTCTTTCATTATTTTTACATTATTTCATTATTTTGAAATGGATTAAAAATTTCTCAATATATATATATATCATGCATTTTCTAATGCAGACAACTTATTAATAGGTGATCGATTATTAGGTGGTATAGGTATCATGGGGTTTGAAATTGTGCTCAACCTACTTTGGATGCTTGTTCTCGTTATATACTATCAGTTAGAAGCAATTGTTAAATTCTTCATTCAACCAAGTAGAAAGGATGTTTCGGGACAAGTTGTCCTGGTAACTGGAGCTGGAAGTGGTATAGGTGAGTGAAGGAAAAGTTTGGATATCGGGATCCGTTTTTCTCCGTCTTGTAGGTTTTAGAAATGTATATTGGTTTTACGCAATTCGATTGTATCGTCATTTTCCATTTGTATTTGTGATTATATGGAGAAAACTATTGACAAAGCGTTCTGGAATAACCAGATTCTGTTATATTGTACGAACATATTTGTAGTATTTTTCATCGTGTAATCTACTTTGTTCAGGTCAAAGACTATCCGTTGAATTTGCAAAACTAGGTTGTACAATTGTTGGGTGGGACGTTTCACAAAAAAATTTGAATGAAACCAGCAAGGTTATGGAGGAAGAAACTGGAAAAGAATTTTATGCTTATACTTGTGATTTAAGCGACAGGGAAGCTATCTACAAAACAGCAGAAAAGGCAAGTACTAAGCGGAAACCAGGATCCGGTCAATATCTAATATGAAACAACTTGAAGTTGTTGAATAATAACGTAGAATTTAATATCAGTTTTAACGAAACCCATGAAGAGGCTAATTTGTTGTGCCCGAATGCGCCATAATGTGAACTTTACAAATTGTTTATAGCAATCATTGAGGTTTGACTAAGATCAATAAGTGTTCTTATTCTTTAATAGTGTATGCAATCTTCTGCGGCATTAATTAGAGCAATATTTTGACCAAACTTGTTGATTTCCAACAGCCTGATCCCATAAAGATAAAGCATTGCATCATGATGAGCCGCAGCATTCAGTACTGTATACACCAGCTAGTTAAATAACATTTATCCACATTCTTCAGGTGAAACAAGACATTGGTCGGGTTGATATTCTCATAAATAATGCTGGAATTGTTTCTGGAAAAACAATCCTGAAATGCTCCGATAGCATGATGCAAAAAACAATGGAAGTCAACACTATGGCTCATTTCTGGGTAATATTATCGACATAGCTTACCTGAGTGTTTAGACTGGATAAGATGGTTAAGAATAAAGAAAATGATATGCATGAATGTTTGAAATATAATGGGCAATTACCAATTCAACACTATATTATACTTATAGCCAATTTGCAAAAATTGTTCACTTAATAAAATGAGACGTGTACCACAACCATTGCCACATTTGATTGGCGCTGGCATGTCCGGAATGAGTAATTTAATTGTTTCACACTCATGCACGACTTGAATACATGAAATATTATTATGTCATGAATGTTGTCATTCCTGACGGATCTGTTAATACACGAAATTTTACGTTAAACTTCTTACGTTCAATTCTTCAGACTCTGAAAGCCTTTTTACCGGAAATGTTGGAGAGAAACGAGGGGCACGTTGTAACCATTTCCAGTGGTGCTGGCTATTTTGGTGTACCAGGACAAGTTGACTATGCTGCAAGGTACTTTTCCCTTCTGAAATTTTTAATAAATTCTCACTCCATTCACTACCAGAGTTTGTTAATACGCCTAGCTAAGAGATTGTGTTTGATTTTAGCTTACGAGTTTAGCCTCTTTGGGGTAAACCTTTTATGGCTCGTGGCTTCCTTTCGGAGGCTGTTAGCACGTGGCCCTCTTCCAACTGCCACGGGCCCTCGGTGGAGAACAACTGCATTAATGCCTTCTTCACTTGGAAGTTACTTGTGTTGGTGTTAATATCACTATTCCGTTAATTTTGCTATCTCTTACTCAATACCACATAAATCTCATTATTTTCAGTAAATTTGGAGCAGTGGGTATGTGTGAGGCGCTCCACCAAGAACTCCAACACACTGGGAAGACTGGTGTGAACGTTACTTGTGTTTGTCCTTATTATATAAACACCGGAATGTTTGAAGGAGTAAAAACCAGGTGAGACAATAAAAAAGACCTTGCGTGTTGCAATAAATCTCGGCAGAGTAGATAACAACATGAAGACAACATATATACAGTTCAATCATGTTATCGTTACATTTAATGTGGAGATACTAAATTAGCATGATCGATTTTCGATATCAAATTTCATATAATGTTAAGCTTTATGCCACATTTAGCTTCATGCCGATCTTGGAGAAGGACGATGCAGTCGCAAGAATTATAGATGCGATTCTTCGTAACCAGTATTTGTTAATGCTACCAAAAATGCTCTACTTGTTTGCTGTTATGAAGAGGTATGTGTATTTTTTCATATCTCTAAATTTCTTTTTAAAATGTAGTGGGAAGTCTATATGCAATTTCATGGTCACGTCATCATTGTATGACGACATTTTCTTTATTTTCAAATCTCGAGTGAGTAAATTTTATCCCATCTCTAGATACAACTGAACTCTATTGTTCTGATGGATATGATAAAAATTTTAGGGCTGTATTGTTAGGAATACACAAATGCAAGTTGCATGCACTACTTTAATGATTTATTTTTACTTTAAAGTCTTCTACCAACAAAGGCGTTGCTCGTCGTTGGAAAATACACCGGTGTTAACGCAGCGATGGATGACTTCATTGGTCGCAAAAAGGTGGACTGAATATTTTCAGAGCCATCAACTAATTCAGGAAATAAATTCAAGTTGAACTTCAATATGTACTTCAAAAATATTTGTATTTTTTTTATGCGAGTATCTTGTGCTGCTCGCCTATATTATTTGGTGTATCATAGATGTGAACTTCATTTTTTAATCTGTATAATTAAAAGTTTTATTATAATAAGTGAAGGGTTTGTTTGAAGTCTATTAGCATTCTGTACTCTTTATTTTTGATTTAACATTGTGAATAATTTATACACTCCGATGCTTCATTGTTTTACAATCACGTATTTGCGCTATTATAATTATTATTATTATTGTCGTACTTTAATAATTAATGGCGTCGATATGAATTGTGATTATATGTTTCTTCAATTTATTACGATTAAAAAAATTGTAATTTACTTCATTGGGCAGTGCATGGGTCTTACAGACGTCTAACCAATATGCCGTTATACTCACTAATATAACATTACCAATAATAGAATAAAATAACATTTGAGTTTAGAAAAAATGCATATTTAGCAAACATATCAAATTCAGAATGCCTTTTAACCGTAAAATTTGAATGCTAGACTCAGTTCAGAGCCTGCTTAAGGGCTATTGCAAATAGCTCATTGAAATAAAATGCCACGAATTCACCGATTCCTAAATCATGTAACTGCGCCACGCGGGGATTTAAATGATGTATTTTTATGCGATGTATGTATGATACGACACATCATGTTTTTCTATTTTTACTATGCACAAATAGGTATTTTCTAGATTCAAAAACACACTTCGTAATTTGAAGTGTTCTAATTGAAAGGCGGTCTATTTTTTGACCTAATATGCAGTCACAATTATGGTTGGAATTTTAGCGATAAGCGATTTCCAGGCTTGTCAATGCGACATCTTTTTCTATCCCATCCCCTATAGCCATGTATGCCCGTCCCGTGGAAATCCCATACCCACCGAGAAGCCCGAAGATTTCAGTGAAATTTCAAATTTGTACTACTGTATCCAATTCATAGTTTGAACATCTATGTCAATAAGTTTTCTAAAATAGGATCCCAGCATGATCCTATTTGAATTATCGTTAGTGTTACAACAGGCTTCCCACCTTAAAATAAACAATTCATATTTTATCTGACTGAAACAAGTTTTATTCATCAAAAAAAAGAAAATGGAACACTTGAAAGGATCACAGTGAAAAATAAAAAAAATTCCACAAAAAAAGCGACTGATTGGGTTTAATAACAGGTCATCATTACCAAAATCGACTCATGCTATAAAAAAGGCATTTGAGTTAAGTCGAACCTAAACTCCCATTTCGTCGATTCACTGGTATTAAAACATGAAGTGGGTACGCTCTGGGCTAGTGGATTGCGATTACCCAACTCAGTTGGCTCAAGTTATATTTCTTGAGTTCGAATTATGATAAGCCGTTATACCCAGAGGCCGTGAACGTGGAAAGATTGACCAATAGAGCAAGTATAGAAACGTTCCTCTCGAAAGCACATAGCAGATTCTCATGTCTAAATGCCTTATTCTAGTCTCGTTCAATATAATGTGTCAAACTTTTTCATTTAAGCTAACATTGAACAGTTACGAGCTAATAGTTACAGCGCAGAATATGGCTATATATGCGTCGCAGGGTAGAGATCTCAGGTCCAAACCTGTTCGCCAGTAACATCAGCTTCTTACGTATCAGTGACTGAATGAAGGCAATAAACTGAGTAGGAATAGTGACTAGATACGCATCAGTGGCTGTTTATACTAAGCCTTGTTCGGAGTGCAAGTGTGATAGACGACTCATAAAACTAAATTGTGATTTGTTTTTACATAAAGCTACATTTAACTGTCGGGAGAAACTATAGGTCACTTTAATGTTTTAAGCACAGTGCAGACTTTGTCATCTCGGTTGGCATAAGTTCATATTGCCGAAATTTAATTTTTTAAAAGCGCTGCCTGACATAGTAAACAAGACAGCAATTAAAAACCCTGGAACACCGTTTAACAAAATTCTTGGCCGAAATACTAAATTAGGAGAAAAGTACTTTTCCAAAAATGCTATCTAGCTATTTCTTATAGTATTGAATGAATCAAATCGTTGCTCTTAGCAAGTCAGTGGTTACTTAAGAATTACCAGTAAGAAATCTTGCATACAAAATACTAATAATACATAAACAAGGCTAAATTACGTTGGACAACGAGATAAATCTCAAATACTAAATATATCACAATATGGTTACACCGTTAAGCTACAGTTGTCTCGTTGTGTTTATCCTACATAAAATCATTTTCCGATCAATTTAAATTAAACATCTTGATAACTTGCTGCCAAATCACCCTGTCCTTGGTTGCCGAGTGTATTGAGGACAGGATGCTCATATTTATGTCCTGTCGTTTATACCGGAGTTGATTCAGAAAGAAAATCCTGTAAATTTAAAATAAAAAAACTCAATGACGAAACCAAGAATCTGCAGGTTCTCATGATATTCAGACAATATTTTTTGACTGAGATAAAGTAAGAAATAACTGATACAAATATTGTATATCATCAATAAATTTTATCCTAATTAACCTTTAATACAAAGCAGCAGTTTCGCGTGAATATATTTGTGGACCTACTTTACTCATAGCATGATTCTTTGAAGTTAGGATATAAAAATATTTTTGGTTAAAATAAATGAAAGCTTTAGAAAATGAATGAAGTAAACTTAGAAAGTGAGAATCTTTTTCCGTCATTCTATATTAGGTGAATCAGTAAATTTTTTATTATATTTCAAAACTGACATCTGGTAGCTTGTTGAGATTTTAAGTCCAGGTAAAACCAACACAGGTAGACTATTACAACTAACCTGTATGAATTTATCGATGTCTTCAGGATCTTCCTTTGAACATGAGTTTGTTGTTTTAGAGTTCTTTTCTTTTGTCTTAATATCAAAATATATGATTTATATAGGTTATCAATTTATTATCATATACTGTATCATTGTTGAACTATATATAACTGAATTAACATACTGTAGTTCAATAACTGAAAATTTTTTTGTCAAAACAAAATTTCAAAATATGTTTTAAAGAATTAATCGACAGAATTGAGATTTAGTGTATTCCAAGGGATAATATTTACTCACTTTTTCCTCTTTCATCAAATTTTGTGTGTTTTCAAGAATTTCGTTTATCATGTCTTCTATTGGAGTTTCTGGTTTTTCTTCAAACTATAGAATATCAGTATTAACAATGTTATAAGTTGGAACATGAATATTAGGTTAGTGGAAATTTTCCATCTGTGTTTACGCCATGACTCCCAACTAGTCTTTAGACAAGCAATCTCATTTAAATTGCGATTTTAAAATTAAAGTTTGAGCTTACTGGAACATTTTCGATCGATTATAGGCAATGCCTCAAAAGAGTTTTTAACAACAAAAATATGATTTTTATACACAAGTGAATTTGTCTGTTGTTTGTAGTGTTCATTCAATAATAATTTATTGATAAGATTTAATAGTTGAACTTCCATTGAATCTCTTAAATAGAAAAACGTAACGTCGTAACTTACAACAGGCTCAAAGAAGGTTGAATCATCTGGTTCAATAATGTATGTTGCTCTCGACACCATCTGTAAACAATTTCAACAATATTGAAATCCGATTGAAATTTATGTTTAGTTCTCTAAATTTAAAAGTTGGAAAGGAAGAGTCCGAATGAGATTGTTTATAGCAGGGGTGTGCAACGGTGACCGTACATTTGAACCCACGTACATTTGAACCCATGCGTATATCCACGGGTTCAATCTATATGCGGGTGCTAAAACCCATGGGTTAGGGTTAGTATGGGTTTAACTATCCGTGAAACAAAAAAAATTCCATAGATGCAATAGCATACAGGTGCAATTGTCATGGGTTCAAATGTACGTGGGTTCAAATGTAATGGAACCGTGTGCAACATATAATAACCAACTTCAGACATCTAGTTGGGCCATACAAAAAAAATATAGTTTTTCCATATACCCAACAAATTAAACATTTAAAACGAAATTGAACGATAAAACGAATTAAAAAATTTAAATTACGGTAACAAAGGCACCGGGCAAAATGGCGAAAGATTTAACTCAGCGACAAAAACAAGAAAAAAAATTATGTATTTTTAACAATGTGAGCGTCTTTTTAAACATAAACTGTCGGATTAGAATTTTATGCTTGATTGGGAAAATTTGAGTTTTTACAAGGGCCACACTAAATGGCTTCGCGGGCCGTTGTGGCCCTACGGGCCGCCTGTTGCGCACCCCTGAATTATCATCTCGAATGCTATACTGACCTAAACAATTAAATAGACTCAATTATCTTATGTGTAAGAATTTGTTCCACAAAGTCATCGGCAAAAAAGAATTAGGAATATATTTTAATTCACATTTCACACAAATTAAGTCTGACTCCTGTATGAAAAAGCACATAAATAGATGAGCAAAAAAATTGCAGAATGTTTTAATACTATGTTACATGCTCACCTCTCTACCAACGACTTCCAATTCGCCGAACAAAATGTCATCAACCCATTGTTCGCATGTTTCATCAGTCTGGAATGAATGTTTTGATTTAAATTATCGTAATTAAACAATACTTTAATTATATATTCAAAATAAATTTACTCACAGGAACCAGTGAAGTAACATCGGCATCAACAACGTAAGTTGCTCTTGAATCAAGCTAAAAAAATCAATTCCAAATGTGTTTTTTTCGAAATACAAAATTTAGCTGTCATAAACTGTGATGTTCGAATTTTTTATCTCTGGATTTGCAAAGATTCGAATTTCACAAAAGAATCTTGTCTTTGGGACAAATTTTTCAGTTCTATTTTTATACGATGCCTATTGGCGCATTTCGCTTCGAAACAGGTCGTATACAATGGAGTGGGGCATGGGATTTGAACGAGAGACGTGTAATCTGCAATGCCAACAAAGTCAAATTCAACGCGTTAACCCTTGATTATCGCGCCGTCCTTTGATTCAGATTTCATTAAATGCGAAATTAGGAACAAAATGTAAACAAACCTCTCGAATGTTGATTTCTTCTTCGTCTTCTGAACTCATATCCACCGATGCCGATAAATTGTCACTCTGAAATAAGTATATTTATAAATTAAGAAACTGTACGAATCATGCAAAAATGTTGAAATATATTTAAAGCGTTTGTCCCTGGTTTGGGTAAATATGAATATATACGATCACAATAAATAAAATATAATGCAACTCACTTCTCCATCATCACATTCCTCGTTGACTTCTGAACTTTCACTGTGCTGTATTACAGCCTCTTCCTGTTAAATTGAAACATGTAATATTATTATAATAATACATAAATTTTTTATTTATTTTTCTATCGTATAGCTAAAACTATAGTGTTTTGGAATGACTGGAATGTCTGACATAAATTTCTATACCTGAAGAGAGTTACAACTTGAAATTGAAAGACCATCGGTTCCATTGAGTTCCACATGATCCTGTAAAATGAATAATTGATAAAACAAAATAATTGTTATCATTCGAGTAGACTTGCTTATCATTCCAAAAAGTATCAGATGCACAATTTTATACAAAACTATTCGTGTGGAATTTGCACGATAATTTGAAATAATCTCTCAATGTATCTATATACGTCTACAAGATTTTGAGTCTGGCCATAGGTGGCGCCTTTTACCCAAAATATGCTAAAAGAAAATTTCCTTGTCAACCTTATTCCATTTTGGGATTTCATGTTGAATATTTCTCACGCAAGACCTAAAATTTTTAACTCACTATGATTTTGGAAACATTAGATGAATTTTCTCCAAGGTTATTTTCAACCTGTTCAAGCATCCAGTCCATTCTTTCAGCCACTGCCATTGCAACCTAGAAAACAGTACAAATTGTGATAAGTAAAGTACATTGGGGGCGACAATAAGCAGTTTTGTGAGGCAGGAATCTTACGTGAATCTCTGATATTTTTTCTTTCTCAATATCGGCGGGGTTTACCTGTTAATATAAAATATATAGGTCAAAACATAGTGTAGTCGATGTTTTTGTCTGCCTATCTGAATCTACAGTTATATCACTCAGCTCTGTTTGTTTTAGGTAGGGATGCAAGAAAAAAACAGCGTAGCATATTTTAGGCAAAAGAACAGGTTTTGGAGAAAACTATTTTGGCGAAAGACGGAGTGAGCGAAGCACAAACAATATCACTAATTATTGTGACAAGAATGATAGATATTATCCACTTAACTTTAAAATATATGTACAAACTACTCAACATACCTCCGTCATTGCATTTGTATCATCTTTCGACACTTCACAGTCAGGCTCAGGCAAAACAGTAGAAGCCATTGGTCGAGAGCTAGGAGCATCCTGTCAAATATAAATAACATTGAATCAAAATAAATATGTGAAATCACGTTTGCAATTAAAAAACAACTTTAGATACATACTAATTCTACTTTTTTCAAGTTGCAAGAAAAATGAATACACCAGACAAAGTAACACTCTGAACCAAAAAATGTCTACTTGGAAACCTGAAGTGAACCTAATAGCAAATAGCACATCGTCGATAACTTTTTTGACCGATCTATGACTCGAAATGGTATTTGTGAAAATCTTTATTTGTTGTATTCAATCTCATGTACAACTAAATTTACGCACTTTGATGAATAGAGGAGCAAATCCTTAATATCAATTAGTAAAATATAGCTCTTACCTTCGATTCCTTTAAATTCCAGTCCGATGGGAAAGGAGGTGGCGTGTTTCCTGGTAGACGGAAAAATGGATTTGGCTGAAACAAAGCGGAAACGTTATGTAAGTTTTAATTAGCCGTCGGTTGATGGGGCCCGGAATCTCAAACTGAATCATAGACGAAGTAATTCTTCTACAATAACCACTATTAACTGTTACACCTTGGAGCGTTCATGGTTATGTTAAACGATATTTTAATGTATCGATTTCTAACAATAATTTACCTAGTGATTACGTGTTCATACAGCAACAACTTACCCTATTCCGATCTGAAAAGAAACTGGGTCTTTGTTTGATCTAAAATAAGGTAAAAAATAAAGTGATCGTAGAATGAGATCTTCCAAAAAAATTTAAAAGTAATTAAGGTATTACTATAAAAATAAATAATATATTTACTTCAGAGGGACGTAATAGAGCCTGCATGTAATCAGGTGATTCACTTCCATCCGAATCCTGTTAAATGAAAACGCGAGGATTCTTTAATAATATAAATCAAGATTATTTGAATTCATTAATACTACTAATCTTACCAATGATCTTATTTTTGCATATTCAATGTCCATCTGCAAAACAAAAAAAAGTTTGATTAAGATATTATTGAACCTTTTAGTAGTACATTCAAGTAACAATATTTAACACAAACTCACTTTTTCAATGTAATTTAGACTATTTCGTTCTCTCAATATTTTTTCAAATGGATGTGGAGGACTCGGTTCTCGACTAAGATCCTGGAAAGGAATATTCATGAATGCATTCACAAACCCTTTGAATCGGCTAAATAGCAAAATATAATACTGTACCAACTCAAGAAGTCGGTAGATTACAACTACAGTTAAATGGTTTTTGAATTACAATGTATTAGGCTTCGCTGAGCCGGATTACGACGTGGACCTTGTTGTAACAAATTGTTTTGTCTTGAATTTTAGCATTTTTTTCAGCAAAAAGATTATTGCTTTTAAAAAGTCACCGTTTTAGTGATACTAGTCCATATAATTTGAACGGTTCATAAATTACTATTTACTTCTTCTGAAAACGACGGTGATAGTTGATACCACAAAGATGATGCTTCCTCCTTTTTATTGTTTTTAGTACAATGTCCAGAACAACACGCATCTGGATCTAATCTGACAGACTGGGGATATGCGGAACGGCTTCTTGTAACATCTGGTTTCTGTGGGGTCGACTGGAAAAGATAATCGTGCTTTTGGGCTGAAGAACCTCTTATTTTGAAACTGATTTGCTTTCACGTGAACACAGTTGAATGATGTCACAGAGTTACGCCTTTGAATAAGTGCGTTTACACTAGTGAAATTTGCTGCCGATGTAATATTTTTGACAAGACGTGCTTGGTCATCTAATTTTAAAGGACCCAGTTTGGTATGATCGGCATTATACGAGTATTCGAAACAAACCTTAGATCAGGGGCCGAAAATCGAGCGTACTGCTAAGGCTAACCGCAACGAGGAGAACTGAATGTATTATAAAACTAATATCATTTAAGATTTTATTTATATAATTGCCTACCGGAATATCTTCCTCAAAATTCTCCGTTTCTTTTTCTTGACTTTGCATGCATACACACAGCTGAAAATAAAATAATACCCCGATTTTATCAACTTTAGTACATCCTACAAAGATAGAGACCAAACAAATTGTGTTACTTCGGTTCTAGCTGGATGGAGTTTTATGTCGCTATGTAGTGTACTTTGCGACTACAGCATAATCTTAGTAAGACTACGGAACCGCGAATATTTTAAACCACAGCACCAGTTTTTAATACAAAACCCAATGACACTATATCCTGAATACGTCACAGTGATACGAACCTTCTTAGACTGTTTTCTCGCCCAGTCAAGAATGATATTTAATATTGATTGAGGTAACTCTCCTTTGGATGGATCCTGAAAGATATCATAGTTTAAGTTCGTGCTGTATAGTGGATAGATCTTGAAAATGTGGAAGAATTATGTTTTGCGGACATCGTAGATTATCCATTTTCAGAACACAGGTTTATGCAACGTGCGACCGTAGGACTATCGAGTGTCCGCTTGAGCTGTGGAGTGGGGGGTTTGCATGTTCCTTGGATTTGGCGTAAAATTTCCCCGACTTCGAAGTTCTCTAACAAAAACGATCTCCGAAGTTAAAAAAAATAAACTGCCGATGTCTTACTGAAGCCGCTCAAAAAAATGCTACGCTAAAAAACGCTAAACGTTTGAAACGCTTAAGTTACCGAACTGCTTGTAATCAAAAATAAGCATCACAAGCTCTCTTTAGTAAGAGTATGCTTATAGTGGATTATGACGTCATAAATCTAAACAAAAAGCGAATTCATTTGATTAATAGAAAAGGCTTCGATCATGTACGCAAGAATCCCGCTATCTTACCCGTCCCAATTAATAAAAAGAAAATCAACCCTTGTTTTCAAATAAAAACATATAGCTTTGTAGAGTTATACTAGCTGACTTAAATATATTTAACAAACCTTTTCGAGTTCCTCCTTCTGTCGTTTGGAACAAATTTTTCCATATTTTTTCAAAGCTTTGGCGGCTTTATTAATAGATTTTTCCCAGCCGATTTGGCGTCGAAAAACTCTAATTCTTTTTCCTTGTCCCATTTTCTGTTAAGGAATAAGAGGATTCAATGATTTAAATTGAAAAGGCTATTTAAAAATACATCGAATAACAAAGATGAACTTACCATAGGCGTTGAAATCAGAATGAAATACAATTACCATAAATTTGACGGATTGATAAAAGGTCATTGTTTGCAAACATTGTAATCTTTAGTGACGTCATAATGCTTGACTATTTTTACGAAGCAAGCGTGTATCAAGCCCTAATTGACTAATACAGTATTTATGATGGAATCAAGTTCTTAAATTCATCCCATCGAAGAGCAAGGCCGATAAGACGGTTAAGTCATATATTTTCAATATGTTTTACAAGCCATTTTGAGCTATTATGCATTGAACAAGCCAAGTTTTAAATCTATTCCAGTACGATTTCGTCCAGTCGCAATGTCGATACCCTTTTTTGCAGGGTTGGATATGACGAGAATATACGACTGCAAGCCGGATCATCGGCACAAAATTTTTTCTGAAGGCTGAAAAAGTCGCTGAAAACTGCTGGTTCTTGTGCTAGTTTTATTCACATCTCTATTTGTATTCATCCTATTGACTTAAATCGGTTGCGGGAGGTTTTCCTATCTCACAAATATCTGTTGGTTTGTGCCACGGAGACATAGGTATTTTTTTTTTCTTAAACGGAATTGTCCGTCCAGTCAAAAAAAAATGTGTTATTGCGCGAATATGGGCGACGAGGCTGATGGTAGGTTTGAATGCGCAACCCAAATTTTCGACTGGTCTGGAGGGATACTACAATTGGAATACGGTGATAAAAATTTGACCCTTTCTTTTCTTTTGTGTCGAATAACCAACTTATCTCTGCTCGTAAATCTGCCTTGATGTAACCAAAATTTCAGGAAATCTTCATGGGAAACTGATACCCAGCTCAGTTCGCTGATTACCACGTCATGAAAATATAACGAAACAATCATGATAAATTTTGTCTTAGGAGCTCTGCGATAGATAAAAGAATGTTATATTAGCACTATTTTGAGGTATGCTTAGTTAATAGTTACTAAAGGAAACTTGCATATTGAACATGAAAAACACAATTTTGAGCATATTATGCTATTTTATCCACTGCCAAATATTAAAATAAAATTATCGCACACAGTTATTCTGGATGAAAAAAGATCCAATGTATGTCAATCAATCTTCTATTCTACTTGAAATAAATTGTGTTCTTCGGAATTGCAGTGAGGATAAAAGCATTATCAAAATAGTGAGATGTTGAGATCAAATGTTATGGGATATTATCTGCACCCCCTATTATCTTTGTGCGAGATTGTATAGGCCATTATCATCGTAAGTGTTAAAAGTACAACAGCCCGAAAGTTCAATACTATCGCGTATTACGTTTGTTCAATTCTGGCCCAAGCCTCATTTAATTGAGTTTGCGTTTTTGTGTATGTGTTGGTGGGCCGGCACATGATATTTCTCATGTTTTAAACTTCTTTAAAGGTTTTGCTTGCTCTCCAGAATTCTCCATTTTTAATTCGTATGTATTATGGAGTTTTTAAAATAAACTACCGGTAGCTATCTATCATATTTCAAAGCGAAGTGTGGCGCACTGGATAATTGTTATCGCGTGCGGATGCGTCGTGTGGGCCGTAGTTCGGTAATAGTTTACTGTACAATTCGATGCATTAGGTACGGTATTCGGTTTTACACAGGTTTTACAGTATTGTAAAAAATGCTGAACATGTACCGGTACCGTATTAGAATAACAAGTTTCATTCTAAAATCTGGGTATAAGCCATCGGAAACATTTAGAAATAGGTTTTTACAAAGGGACTGAAATTTCTACAATGTCAGATTTTTATATTTCTGTATTTTGGATGAAAAGAAAGTGCCCGACACGATGCCTAAAAGTAAGAGGGGCTCGGATACTTGAGTGTCCGACTTCGGTGTTAGCTTACGGTACTGGCTTAGGGCAGTGGGGAGACCTTTATGTGTAAATAAATACCGTACGCCATAGGAAATTGGAAATGCTTCCAGTAGAATTGGACAGAGAGGTGGGTTACCGGTACCGTATCTGTACAGTTTTCGGGTATGGTACCGTACCGGTACGCGGAACGTCAGAACGTACTGGTACCGTCGTACCGTCGAGTGGTTGAGCAGATTTCGTTAAGTTTTAATCTGTAATAATAATCTGAAGCAATGTTATTTCTGGTATAGTTTAGTAGCGGTACGGTACCACATGCACTTCTAGTTCTGTAGTTGGCCTGACTCAACAATTTTTGCATATGTCAATCCTAACCCCCACCTGACCACATCATTGCGGAGTACCGTAATTTTTGGGCGAAGTAGTCAGGTGGGGGTTAGGAATATTTTATGCAAAAATCATGTTGCCAGAAGTACTTGTCGGCGCGTACTTTGGGGACTCTAGCATTCTGCCCTTGGAATTATCGTAAGTTGATTGTGTCTTTGGAATTAATTTGGTTCAGTTTTATGTCTGTATGTTGTCTGTGTTATATCAGTATATTCTTATCACTTGTGAGTAAATATACAATCTGTATTTCACAGTTCAGCAGTTATAGCATCTGCATTGGGCTAATAAAAGTAAACTCCTGAAATCCCAATTCGTCAACTCAGGAATTTGAAAATGGATATGTTTGCAGTTTCTTATTAAGGCAGAATGGATTTAGAACTGCGTAGTGACGCTGCAACATATCAGAGGAAAGTTGTCGTGTTTTTCTAAAGCATTCTAGACAATTTACACCAGTCAAAGATTACTGGACATTTGCAAATTGAAATATATTTTGTTTACCATTAAATCAATACATTGGAACAACCAATAAACTCCAAGGCTTGTGGATATAAAGGAAACCTCGTACTTGCTGTTGACCTGCTGTTTTTTGCACTGTTGCAGCATTCAGTATCAATGATCTGGTACTTATAATGGATGACCTACAAGCCACTGTTGAAATTGCAGTTGATTTAGGAAGATTTTGCAATGTAGATTTATTTCAAAGAGGGTATGAATTTTATTGTTTTTCTAGGTCTTTTTCTGGGACTCGAATGAAGGTCATCAATGTACATTTTCGATTATTGGAATCAAAGTGGTCATAATAGGAATTGTTTGCTAAGTCAAGTCAAGTTTATTTTTTCCAAACAGTAAAAAACATGCAAAAATATAAAGAAAAAATGATATTTAAATTACTGGGGATTGTTACTGTTGTTGTTAGCTACAACTTTTTTGTTATGGAAAAAATTGCTTTTTTCCGTAATTAATGGACTAATCAATTTCAAATTTTCAGTACCTAAAGATTGATGCAAAGGCTATATTTTGTAAAATTTTAATAATATCCCAATTTCACCCAAATTTTCTCTGTAATATTTTTTTATTTTTCTGTTTTTATATTGGCACTGTCCTTTGTTCCCATTTCACAAATATTCGGGAATTCATCCATATATATTATGTTAGAGCATTGAATAGGTTAATTTTGCCAGCAGCAGAACTGATCTTTTTCCCTAACATAATTTATTAGTTAAAATTTGTTGTTTTCTTCAGGTTGAGTCTTTTTAATATGACCCAATTTTAAAGTACAATGCCTTAATCTTGTCGAATGTACTATGTTAATTAAGCCGTATAGATAGGGGCTAAATAATGGTTCTGGATAATTTAATTATAAGTTTTACCTAGCAACTTGAATTTTCAGGTTTTATCAAGTTGCTGTAAAGTTGACTGAACCAACTCATCCACAGGCAAAAGTAGAAGTCCATGTTTTGAAAACAAATGATTCTGATCATTTTTGTCCCGCAAGGTAATATTTTGATGCTTATCCTTCATGTGAATGTTCATACAATTTTAGTATTATTGAGTAGAGCGTGCAATAAATTTTCAAATGTCGGCAGTATTGAGGGGTTCTCATGTAATGACCAAATGTGAATTTCTTTGTTTATTAAAACATATTAGGTCTGTATTATATTACTTGACTAGCATGAGTGTTACGGTTTAAGTATCATTTCTGTCTTTATATTCTGGTCTAATGTATATTTTCTTGCTTTTTGTTTTGATCCTAATCCAAGAAAATTTTTTTTAATATTTTTGGACTCGATTTTGCACATCTTGTGTTTAGCTACATTTTCGTGTTAGTCGCATAAGCCGCATTTAATCACTGGAGTTTCCTATCCATATATTTGAGCATTGCTATCTTGTTTTTTAGTATATTATACCATTTTAATTTCTTCCCTCAGCATTATCAGACCATACTGATCTATGCCATTTATATTTTAGAGTGTTTGATGATGGACTTGGAGCTGTGTCAAAGTGCCTTCAAGTGTTGTATAAACGAGAGGAATGCCATCTGAATCATACATTTTTATTTCGAGTTCACTGTCTACTTGACAGTCAAAAGGTATCAGACAGGCATATTGAATATTATACTCAAGTGGTTATTTTCATCTGGTATGAGTGATAGGATTTTTAATATGACTCATTGTTAATATGTAATCCCACATGTTGATGAGTTTTAATTTATATTATGCTTCGATATTTTCACTAATTGTCCCATTGTTGATTGGTGCTTATATATGAATTTTTAATTAATATAATGTTGGTTTTGAGTTCCTTTTGATTGTATTCAGATTTCAGAGTTATATTGAATGAGAAAAGTAACTGAAATTTGAGATACCAAAATCTGTATTTTTATATAAGCTAAAATTTTCAAAATCGTTTTTTTTTTATTTTCCTAGATATTGGAATGTCTCAAAAGATTAAGTTTTCAACTAGAGACAACATTATGTTTCTCCAATGCAGATGATTTGTAAGTAACATTGAGTTTTTTTCAGTAGAGGTCTCGTTCAAAATTATTCTGTATAAACTATATGACAGTTTTTTATGGGGCTACAACAAGGATGTCACATAAATGTATGCATTATAAATGTTTTTTATATATATAATATAGTTTAATTTAATCTGAAAATTCACTAATATAAATCATTATATAACATTGATTGAAATTGATTTAGATATTGCATTACTCTTCTATATCTCTTGCCTATTAAATTTCATTTATCATGTTTTATTATCTGCAACAAAGCTGTTTATTGCTT